AATAAGTCAATAATTTCACATGATTGGCCTACCTTAAATAATGGAATTAAAAAAAAAAATTTAAATCAGAAGGGAATTTATCAGTTAATAGAGATTGATTAAAAATAATTGACAATGGTAATAATAATATATTATGAAACTTGTAATTTAGTTTTTTCTTCTAAGCTGGCCAATTTATATGTCTCACCTTCGTCGCAAAGGTCTTTTTTAGGTTTAAAAAATTGTCGAATTCATTATTGAATATATCAGTATACTGTCTAAGTGTTACATTTATGATTTTACTATAATTGTCTCGTGTTGATGTCATAGGTTTCTCTTTAATCCATTCTAAATAGAGTCTATGCATTTTAGAAATGGAAAGGCCATTTTCAAGATATTTTCTGGTAGACTCAGATCTAATATAGTGGGAATCAATAACAGGAAAACTTTCAATGTGTTGTCTTATGTAACTTTTAACATTGTCTTTAATGGCATGTGGACGATCAGAATGTTTGCCTCTTTGGTCTGCAGGTATAACTGGTGAAGTATTTATTTTTTTTGAAAATGTTGCTTATTACTTTATCAGAATCTTAATAGCAAATGTTTGCAAAAACATTTTTTGGCACACTTGGATTTCCTCATTTTGTACAGGTATAAAATATTTCCTGGATACATTTCTACGTGACTGAGATGGACTTACCATTAATTGTTTTTTCTGAACTATTCTTACATATCTAGCTATGAATTCACATTGTTTGTCATAATCACCTATGCCAAAGTACAATTCAAAAATAGTTTCACGATCAGTATCGCTAAGTTTGTTAAAACATTTCATTCTACATTTTTCAGAACATGGTGGGCCTATTTTCTTTGCACCTCTATTTTGTCCCTTTCTGTTGAGATGTTCCTCTCCTTTGTTTAATTGACATTTAGATTTAACATCAATCCAATCAGTAGTATGTTTTAAACGTTTTCTTACAAGATCCCGTTGTATTGCAGTTGGCTTGGGTTTTTTTTTAGGTATGCTATTTCCCTATTTAAAATCATAAAACAATAAATTATGTAATTACTATGGTTAGAGCTAAAATATTTATATACAATAATATTGTATTGTATTGTATTATATTATTAATATTATATTAAATAACTTACAGTGAGTGGTAAACTATTTGTTGGATTATTATCGGCTGGTATTACATTTTCTAAAGGAATATTATCGCTGTCATACTCATCAGGATGATCTTCACTACTAGTATTTTCATTATACTATTTTTATATGGACAAATAAAACATAGTGTTATTTTGTGTTACCTACTCTTATAATTAAATGTTTATAATATTATGATATAGGAAAAAAATGTAGGTTTTTAAATTTGTTGTTATACAAATTATTAAAAAATCCTGTTGGAATTATTATTGTTTTACATAATATGTGTTATCTAAGTAGATTTATTAACTTATATAGGTATTACTATTACTTTTATAGCAGGAAAGTGGTTTGAAGTAGCAAACTACAAACATTTTAGTCACTGCTCTAAGCTCTACTAGTAGATTATTATTAATCAATTTAAACTTTAAAGTGAGGTACAAAAATAATTTTAAATTAGCTAAATTCACATATTAAAAACTATTCTTACTACTTACCACACTACTTAAGTTTACTATAGAATATGGCATAAAAATATTATTTTTTTTTTTTTTGGAATACAATAATAACTAATTATAATTGTCATCATCATACCTTTTCAGTTGGATTATTAGTTACAATTATTTCATCTTCATTAATTGTACTAAAATTTATTTCATCTTCATCACTACTTATAAGCCCATATTCATAAGTATCTAAAATACTATCATCATCATCTGATGGAAATAGAATTATGTCATCGGCATTCAAATCCTATTTTAAATAATATTATAATAATTATACAAACAATGATAATTTAATTTAAAATCTAAAATGATTTATTATTTTAAAACTACTTACCATTATGAATTATCGTAGAAAAATGTGTTAAAGTATACTGTTTCGTTTATAATATTACTATTCAATTTAAAACGACTTGATGAATTTATGAATAATTACACAATATTGTTCTCCATTAATAGGGAAAACAAAACAAATTGATAAAAAATGTATAACAATATTATGTTGTTTATTTAATATTTACGCCTATTTTATCGTCGGCATGATAATAATATTAATTATAATATTATCTTTATCATTTAATAGTATGGTAATATCCCATACCATGGTCATTATCTAAATATTTTGTAGTGCTTGTACTAATTTAAAAATTTAAAAATAGAAACTGAGTTACGTCTCTTTTCGCGGGAAATAATATTTTTTTAAAAGAACGTAACCACGGTTAAAGATATACAGGTTACTCAACGAAACTTATTTTTGGTGCGCTTAAAATTTACGATCTTGTCATAGCAAGAATAACAGTTAGCGCTTCTGCATTATAGTGATTTCTGTTGGTACTACAAAATACATCATTATCAACAATATCAAAGTTGATAATATCAACAGACAACAACAACTATCAAATGTCAAGTGTCAATTGTCAATAGTCATTTATTAATTATTAGTAAATATTATATTAAATAGTAAATTATGGAGTATGAATAAGTAATAAGTAATAACGAATGACCATTAAGGTCCCCACACACTGCAGCGGTGGCGGTGGCGGTCAATTGCTGTAGGACACATTTCACCGCTCACGGCTACAGTTATTAAATGTATTTAATGTAAAAAATGTTACAGCAACTGGAAAATTACTATCAACCATCGAAATATCAAAAAACCATCCTTTTGGCAGAGTAATGGAGTCAATTTGACTCAGCACTGAATCAAATAATGATTCGTCTTGTACTATAACTTCATGTACCCTTTCAATGTTACTTTCGATACCTTCTGTAACCTAAGAATCAAAACATTTCCAAGTTTGTTTCATTTGTTTGTACCTATGCCCTATAAAGCTGTAGTTATATAAAACTGAAAAACAAACCATCGAAGCACAAGTTCGTTTAGCATCAGGATGCTGAAATTCTTCAGGAATACTTTTTTTTTTTTAATAAACTATAGTTATGGTCATGAGTAACTACACTGTTTGACGTTGTATCTACTAACTAGTAAGAGTTTAAAAAAGATATACAACTGTTAATTTCCATTTAAGAGAACTTATAAATATTCACTAAAATAACTAACTTTCTCATGATCGCTATTATTTATGTTAGTTGGTACAGCCCCAGTTTTCAGCCTTGGTTTTTTTAAACAAATCTAGTCACAAATATATAAGAAATATACTTAATTCTAAATAAAATAATTTAATTAAGGTATTTTAAAACTCACAGAGTATTTATTGTTGCCATTTCCAGACACCCAAGTATTAATTATGTCGCTACTTTTAAAATGTTTAGCACACACTCTAGAGATACTGGTTAGTTGTGTACCTTAAGATTTTTCCCATACAGCAATATCTTTAATAGGGACGCCAAATTTTGTTTTGTAACTCTCGTGACATCCATTTACACAGCATTTATTTGACACCATAATAAAGTTTTTAAATAGATACAAGAGAATTATGAAAAATCTTTTACTTTCTAAATAATAAACATAAATGTTGGCATAGGCTATAGGATATAGGAATGAGGAAGAGTATAATAAAAATAAACATTTATATCTGATAAATACAAAATCCATATTTATATAATTATATAAATAATATATAATATATGCATAATACATATACATATAATATTATACATAAAAATTAAAAATTCTAAAGCCCGCCTAAAATATTTGTTTGAAAATGTTTAAAATATCAGGTTGTTGGTTGATTTTATCCACGCTTGGAGCTTTAGTAGTTATTCTCGCATAGTTGATCAGCTGTTTAAACCCAACATTTAAGCGCACCACTTTTGATGTGTATGTGCATAGGGTCATTGAGTAACCTGTATATCTTTAATCGTGGACGTAACTAAAGATACGTCTGTTTTCGGCGGAAAGATAATATTGGGAGTTTATAAACTATATTACTTTTATAAGCTCCTAGAAAGAATAGAGATACTGCCGTTTTCGTGGGAAAACAAGAAAAAAAAACGTAACGAGATAGTGGATAAACTGAAAAATTATAAAAAGTGAGTTACGTCCTTCTTCGTTGGGGGCTTCGATATATAACCATAGAACAGTATAGAAGCGAAACTCGATCAGCTGATTGGGGTATTGGTTCCCTATGATCTGAAGTCTGAACCTACGAAAAACATGGAATTGGTTCCCGCACCAACATGATGTTAGACCCGTATATTATAAAATCGGTTCTAAGACTAAAGGTCGATTCGCACTATACGGAACGTCAACGTCACGTCACCGATCGGCAACGTCACGTCAAAATATCTTACTATGTATTTATACCGCAATGTTCACATACACCGGCAACATTACGTAACGTCAACGTCACGGAACGGCAACGTTTATCGAAAACTATATTTTGACGTGACGTAACCGGTCCGTTCTTGTCCTTACGGATAGTATGAATGTCAACACGGAACGTTTCCGTCAACAATTTAAATAAACTATATTTTGAATGTGTAAGCTCGTTAACTAAAAATTATAATTTTTGAATATTTAAATACAAAAATATAGACATATAAAGTAAGTAAACAATATTTATTTAATTCTCCAATTTACAGTAGAAAATGAAATAACATTAATTAAATAAATTAAATTAATACATTAATTAAATAACATTAATCATTCGATTAATTAAATAACATTTTAATAGTTTAAACATTAAATAGTCATGGACGATGAGATGTTGATTGAGGAAGTACGCCAATATCAAGAACTGTATGATATGACGCATAAAAAATATAGCGACAACATTCACAAAGATAATATCTGGAGAAAAATTGGTAGTGAATTGAAAACAACAGGTACCTAGATATAAACTTAATTTAACTAATATTACTTATTATTAGGTACTTAATATTACTTTTACAGCTTTTATTTTTTAATTTTACATAAACTTATCTCTCTGCCATGGTAATGATCCATTTTCAGAGTTAAAAAAAGTTTTATAGGTTTCACGCACATTAAAAGCAGTAGTGAGGGCATTTCCACCTTGTCTATGTATACGTCCCCAATTAGGTTCACATTCTGGTGGGTCTAAATGTTGGGTAATTAAAATATTATCTTTGATATAATTATGCAAAATACAAGTAGTTAATATAATATTGTCAACATTTTCGGGTAAAGATTTTATACTTCTAAAAAAGATTCGAAGTTTTTGCACCAAGTTTCCGAATGCGTTTTCGGATACGCGCCTAGCTCTTGACAATCTATAATTGAATACTTGTTTCTGTATATCACCATTAATTACAGAACCAGGATAAGGTCTTAATAGATAGGTTTTTAGGGGAAATGCCTCATTCGCCACAATGACATATGGCACTGGACATTGAGTTCCGGGAAGATTTTTATCTTTTGGAACATGTAGTTTATTTTGTTCCAACGCTTTTCCTAAATTTGAATTGGCAAATATTCCACCATCACTATTCTTACCGTAGGATCCTTCATCTACAGCAATGAATTTATAATTTGCGTCAACCAAAGCTAACAAATTAATAGAAAAAGTTTTCTTATAATTGAAATATTGGGAACCACTGTTCGGAGGAGCAAAAATTTCCACGTGTTTCCCATCTAATGCTCCTAAGCAATTAGGAAAGTTCCACATTTTCCAGAAGTCATCAGCAATTTTTTTCCCAATCTTTTTCCTCTGGTTGCGGCATCACTTCAGCTAACAATTCGTCTACTATAGCTTTGCATACTTCTTTAACAATGTAATGAACAGTCGAATGCCCCAGCCGATAACTGAATGATATAGTTTGAAACGAATCACCAGTCGCTAAAAACCTAAATAATTAATTTTACATAACTGTTAAACTGTTCGGACAATATAATAAATTTAAATTTAAATTAACAAAAATGTTTTAATTTATAAGTTATTTTTATTCAAGTAATTACCAAACATGCGTTAAAAGTATTAAACCGTATACGAATAACCAAAATATTAGATTCTGAGCAGAGCGATTTATCTTGAATCGATTTTATTATTTTGTTATAATTCAAAGACGAATAACCGTAGATACCTACCTGCAGTTTTTACCAAATGTTTATATTACGATTTTCTATTCATAATTAAATATTCAAAATATTTCGACACGTTTTGAGCTATTTATATATACATTTTAAATACAAATTTTAGATTCTGAGTGAAACGATGAATGTATTGATTTCACAATGATGTGTTTTTTTTTTATTTTTAAATTTTAAATTTTAAATTTTTTTATTTTTGTGTCTGTCATCACGTTTTAGGACAGTAAAAATGCTTAGATTTTCTTCAACAGTATCTCTTATGATAGGAAAGTGAATCTAGTTGGTGCTTCAGGAGGTCAACTTACATCCACTTACCAACCTTTTTTTTCTATAATATTGTCAATAACAAATTTTTTGTTTGCCAAAAGTCTTTGAAAATTAAATACAAGGTGCTTCGTAAAATTTTATAATCACAGTTTAAAAAAAATAGAGATACATAGGCACGATTTTTTTTAAAAATTCATACATTTTTTAGTTTCTATAGCTAAGGATTGAAACTTTAAAACACTTTTTGTTATAACCAAATTTTATATTTTTAATAGGCCCAGCGTGCAAGAATAGATGGATCTCATTACGTGACCAGCTGAGAAAAGCAATGAGAAAAAATATTACAAAAAGTGGACAAGCCGCTGAAATTAAAAAGAAGTGGAAGTATGAAGATTCAATGTCATTTGTAATTCCATTTTTTAAAGAAAGAGAAACACAAACCAACATAGCAGAACCTGATAGCTTGAGTGACGGATCGAATGATGAACACGAAGGTATGGAGAGCGTTGTTATTACTGGGGATACTTCAGAACAAAATTCTAATAACAACATAAATCAGAAATCTACAGCATCTCCAAAAAAAAGTTCATCTAGGTATTTGCTAAACAAAAGAAAATTTGAAAAAACAGAGACAGCTTCATCTGTACTAATGAAATATTTAGTAGAAAGTTATAAGCAAGAAACAAAAGCCACTGCTAATGATCATCCAATAGACATATTTTTCAATAGTCTAGCCGCTACTGTAAAAACTTTTTCACCCGAGTACCAGCATATGGCAAAGTCAAAACTTTTCAATGTTGTATCCGAACTAGAGTGGGCACATTTACAAAGTAAGAATACAAATTACCAAGTGCCAACATCAATGAATTTTCCAGCTCCAGACAACAGGTCAAATATACACCCAATACCATTTATTCAAACTCAAAACATCCAAAAAGCAGTCCATCCACAACAACAAATTTATGAAATTTCACGTGCGTCAAACTCATCTACTCCAAATGATTCATTTATGTTTAGTCACACTCAAACACCTTCACCTGTAAGTTCCGGAAGGTCATCTGCACAATCTTATTTTGAAAATTTTCAGCCAAATTAACTTTTAACACAGTTAAAGTAATAAGTTTGTTAATAATAATATTAACTATTTTGTTTAAATACAAAAAATACAAAATATAAAATACTATTTTTTTTATTTCTTACCTTAAGCAGACCATTAGTTTTTCCTTGGGACTAATAGCTTCTCGGAATGTAGTGTTTTGTTTTTGAATTTTAGTTTGAATTTTAGTTAAAAGTTCATAAAATTGACTTTGTGACATCCTAAAATATTTATAGAAAGAAATTTCTTCATCTTCTAATTCTTTAAATAATGTGTGAAATTCTCCTACAAATTTCCTCGCAGTAAACATTTTTCGTACCCACGTTTTCTTAGTACGATTAAATTTTTTTTCTTCGTCGTCCAAAATTAAGGCAATCATTGCTAATTGTTTTTTAGTGAACTTCGGCAGGATACAAATACGAATATTTAATAAAAAAAAAGGTGGGCAAGTGGGTGTCGCTCTGCTGTACAGTAGGTTACAAGTGGGTCACAGTATAATGGATGGTATTAAATTTGAATTCAATGATATATTATCATTGTATAAGAAAAACGATTCTGAGCAGTGACGGTATGTCAGTCTATGTATAAGACATATTATATACATATCTATGGTATTAAATAAAAAATTGACCTATAATAGGTACCTACAATAAATTCCAAATTAATCATATCACAATATCCATTAGATACTTATAACGCGTTATACATCAACAAAAACCGTGATACTATCATAGATATATAATAGTACACTTTAGAAGTTTCAAGTACCCACGAATAATATTATTCAATCACAACAAAATAACTAAAATAGTTATTCTAGGTTTTTTAATATGTAATTTCGTCCAAATTTGAATTTAAAATGTCTGTAAAAAATAAGTGTGTTCATATATTTTTTAGATTTTTTGGTTACAGTGTGAATTATTTAAGAGAATCTTTGTTTTAAATTTTCAACTCTTAGTTATAAAAACTGAACATTTTATAATTTTTTAATTCCAACGATTGATAATTTTCGAGATTTTGATAAATTTTGTCAAAATTCCAACTTTAAATGCTTATAAAAAAAAAAAATCGTGCCTATGTATTTTTAATATTTTTCAACTGATATTGTAACAATATATCAGGAGCCTTGTATTAAATTTTTACACTTTTTGGCCCAACAGATAAAACTTTATTGATGTTTATAGAAAAAAAAAACTAAAAAAAAATGAAAGCTGTAAATGTCCATAAACAGCTCAAAAAGAGTCAAAATATTTTCAAAATTGTATGGTGTATAGAAAATGCTAATTTAAACACTCAGTGAAATTTTCATGTATCTACAGTTGTTCGTTTTTGAATTGCAACAAAATAAGGAAATCGCTACATGAGTAATCGAGTGAAAATCCAATGTTGTAAAAATTTGAATTTCAAACGCTCATAAAAATTTAATTTGACTGTCCTTTAGAGATTTTTTTATTGATAAAGGTAGATAATCTTATAAGGAATCTTGTGTTTCATTTTCAAATCTTAGATTTAAAAAGAAAAATTTTTACGAATTCTTAACTCAAAATAATTTGCTAATTTTCATGATTTTTCCATATTTTGTCAATTTTTGAACTTTAAATGCTTATAAAAAAAAATTGTGACTAAGGATTTTTAATATTTTTCATCTGCCTTTGAAACAATATATTAGGAGCCTTCTATTAAATTTTCAAGCTTTCGCAACCAACAAATAAAATTTTATTGATATTTTTAGAAAAAAAAACTAAAAAAAAATGGAAAATGAAAATGTCCCTAAACAGTTCAAAATAAATCAAAATATTTTGAAAATGTTATCGTGTATAGAAAATGCAAATATAAACAACCAGTGAAAATTTCATGTATATACGTTCATTTGTTTTAGAGTTACACCAATAACCAAAATCGATTTTTGGAAAACCAATTTTGCGTAAAAATTCCCGTTTTTCCTTAATTTTTATGTTGTTTTTCCCGGCGCTTGTGAAAACTACTGGAAAATGTTTACTTTTGACCCCCCAAAGTACCAACTAGATTCACTTTCCTATCAGAAAAGGTACTATTGACGAAAATCGAAGCACTTTTACTGTCCCAAAACGTGATGACAGACACAAAAATATAAATAAAAATATAAATAAAAATATAAAAACATACATCATTGTAAAACCAATACATTCATCGCTCCGCTCAGAATCTAAAAAAAAAATGAATTTAAAACACAGAATGTACTAGACCTAGTTTAACCTAAAGGCGCGTCCACACCTGAGCATGCTAGAGATGAGCACCGTGAGCATAATTACAGTGAGCAAAATATCGCGATCGCTGTGTGTACTCAGTATAGACGTCTCACCGATGTGAGCCATAAATTAGGTGAGCAATGCTGAACGATTTTGGTGCTCAAGTCATTCGCTGGTAGGAACTGGCCACTGGTAGTTGCCATTTATGTTCAAATTTTTTTATAACTTAGCACAATAATGGCAAACAATTTACAAATTGCCAGCGCCGCTTATATTGTTATGCATTTATTAACAAAAAAAAAACAGTCAAGTATTAAAAAGAGACGATGGTGGACAACTCAAATTTTTCGATCAAGACAAATATACAATGGCACAAGTATGATACGTGATTTAAACTTTCATACAGACTCTGGTCAGTTTGAAAATTTTGCAAGAATGTCACAAGAGGATTTTGAACACCTTGTATCGCTACTTACTCCAATAATAGCAAAGCAGACTACTCATTTCAGGGAACCAATTCCAGTTAATGAAAGACTTGCAGTGACACTGAGATTCTTAGCAACGGGTGAATCGTATACAAGCCTTCAATACGTATTTAAAATTTCAAAGCAATGTATTTCATTAATAGTTCCTGAGGTTTGCCAATCACTTATTGAAGTGTTGAAAGAATATGTCAAGGTAATTATAAATACTTTTATAAATAATTCTAAATAAATTAAAATAGGTATTTACTTTTCAATGCTTTTTTTTTAATTTAATAAAATATAAAATATTATTCTTTCAAACAAACTACAACAACTTTATTATGACAGATTAAAATTATTTCTTTCAAAAACAAAATTTAATATGCATATAGGTATTTTTAGAATATAAATTGATCGATTGAAATAAAAATATAGGTACAACAAACAAAAAAAAAATTGTAATCCTTTACTTAGGGTTTTTACCTACTCGGTTGATGACGAATCAAAAAAATTATAAAATAATAAAAAATTAAATAAAATTATTAATCTAGCAGTATAAACTATCAAAATCTATATTTTCATTTTGATCAGATTCTAATAATGAATGTGATGCAGATGTAGTAGTAGAAATGTTAGACGATGGATTTAAGGTAGGAGGATTAGATAAAACAGGTAAACTATACGGAGAATCAGGGTTTGTTATTATAGAATTTGGAGAATCTCTTGACGAAGAATGCTGAGTGCCTTGATTTTGAGAGTTTGACGGTTGGTTAAAATGTTGAGGAGTGCCTTGATTTTGATAGTATGCCGGTTGGTTAAAATATTGAGGAGTGGCTGGATTTTGGTAATATGGTGCAGGTTGGTTCAAATTTTGAAAATAATTTTCAAACCTGCCTATGTCAGCTTCAAAAAGAATGCTGTTTATAGAATGTTCTACGTAAGCTCTCGTCTTTGGTGTATATGTGTCTAGTTTACTAGCTACATGTTGGCCAAATATAACACTTCCCTTCAACGGCTGTTGTTGTTGCGACGATGCAGACTGTTTCAAAATTGTAAATGCTTCCTCCAGTCTGGAATCATCACAAGTGCTATATTTCTTTCTAGGACGCTTAACTGAAGGCTTGGGCACATTAGATGTAGACGTTTCTTGCACATCGTCTAAACCATTGTTCAGATAAGCTGCAGGTTCTTCACTAATGTCATCATTGGTTACAGAGTTTGAAATTGGTGCTAAACTCTGTATTTCTTCTTCGTTTTAATTCAAAAATATATCAGTCAGCCTATGATATTACTAAGTATATATTTGATGATATTATTGCGAATAAAGTAATTTATATACAACCTATTTACGTGAAACCTTATTTTAAATTTTCAATCCTTAGATATAAAAATTGAACATTTTATACATTTTTAACTACAAAATAATTATTACATTTTAAATTTGGTAAATTTTGTCAAAATTTGAACTTTAAATACTTATAAAAAAAAAAACTGTGCCTATGTATTTTTAATATTTTTCAATTTCTATTGTAATAATATATCAGGAGCCTTGTATTAAATTTTCACGCATTTTTTCCCATACAAATAACATTTTATAGACAATTATAGATAAAAAACTAAAAAAATTGAAAACTGACAATATCCGTAAACAGCTCAAAAAGAGTCAAAATATTTTCAAAATTGTATGGTGTATACTGTATAGAAAATAAAAATATAAACATTCAGTGAAATTTTTATGAATGTACAGTTATTCGTTTTTGAATAATAACAACATAACAAAATCGCTACATGAGAAATCGAGTGAATATCCAATGTTGTAAAATTAAGAATTTCAAACGCTCATAAACATTTATTTTGACTTCCTTTTAAACATTTTTTTTTTTGATAAAGGTAGACTAACTTTTGAGATATCTTGTACCTATGACATTTTCAAATCTTATATTTAAAAAGAAAAATGTTTATGAATTTCTAACTCAAAATAATTTGCACATTTTCGTAATTTTTACGTATTTTGTCAAGATTTGAAATTTAAATGCTTATTTAGGTATAAAATAATATTGTAACCTTGGACTTTTAATATTTTCCAAATATCACTATAACAATATATTCGGAGTCTTGTATTAAATTTTCAAGTTTTTTGACCTGACGAAAAAAAAAATTGAAACTGAAAATGTCCGTAAACAGTTCAAATCAAATCAAAATATTTTATCGTGTATAGAAAGTACTAATATAAACATTCAGTGAGGATTTAATGTATCTACGGTGATGAGTTTTAGAGTTACACTCAAAACCAAATTCAATTTTGTTAAAAACCGATTTTGCGCAAAAATTTCCATTTTCTTTGTGCTTTTTTTATAAGATTTTTAGTTCAAATTTTGACATAATTTATAAAATTGAAAATGTACAAACTATTTTGTTGTTAAAAAGTTATAAAATGAACAACTTTTATACCTAAGAATTGAAAATGTAAAACAAGGTTGCACGTAAGTACTTAATTCTGTAATCAAAAAATCTAAAATATATACATAAATTCAGTTTTTTTAAAAGTTATTTTAAGTTAAACTTCTACGAAATTACTTATTGAATACTAAGAATAACAATTTTAGTTATTTCTTTAGTAATTTTATAATATTAATAGTTCAAAAATTGTCCCCAGAAAAAATATAAAATATCCATGCCTATAATTTAGACATTTTATTTTTTATTTTTTAAAACAACAAATCATTGTAATATCAATACAATATTCATCACTTCACTCAGAATCTAAAATAATTTAAATTTACTAATATTAAATTAATTTTTTTATAATGTTTTACCAAATTAACTTGTTTTAACTGTGAGTACATGATTAAAATTATTCCCTCTGGCCTCTATGTATAACAACTTTAAAGTTTAAAAGATCTAAGTATTTAAAATTTAACATTTCAGCTACCCACAACTGAAGAAGAATGGTTAGAAATATCCAAGGATTACGAAAATGTATGGAACTTTCCACATTGTATCGGAGCGATGGATGGAAAGCATATAGTTTTACAGGCTCCAGTGCAAAGTGGGACTGATTACTTTAATTATAAGTCACATTTTAGTATCGTTTTATTTGGTTTGGTAGACGCTAATTATAATTTTATTTTTGCTGACGTTGGAGTACAAGGCAGAATATCTGATGGAGGTGTATTTAAGCATTCACAGCTTTGTAAAATATTGGAAGCTCAAACATTAAATTTACCAACGCCATCAGCAATACCGGGAATAGAAAAAGAACTTCCTTTTGTGTTTGTGGCTGATGAAGCATTCCCGTTGAATGATAACATTATGAAACCTTACTCTGGCAACTATGGTAAAGGTTCAATGGAGCGAATATTTAATTATCGACTTAGTAGAGCTCGGAGGGTAGTTGAGAATGTTTTTGGTATTTCATCATCAGTTTTTCGTGTACTCAGAAAACCTATGCTGTTAGAGCCTGAAAAAGCGCAAGTTATTGTTATGGCTATCGTTCATTTGCACAATTTCTTAAGGAAAAGTAAAGCATCTAAAAATAAATATACACCACATGGATCATTGGATCGTGAAGTAAATGGATCAATAGTAGAAGGAACTTGGAGAGAAGCAGGAGTGTCAACGATGAATCAAATTAGAAATATTCCACGAAGATCGACACTATCATCCAAAGATATCCGTGACACTTATGCACAATACTTTATGACTACAGGATGTGTCCCATGGCAAAATGATTATGCATAAATAAAAACGTTTACCTAATATAGTTTTAAATTATATTTATGGAATCATTAAAAAAATGTATCAAAAGGTTTCTTATTTATTTGATTATTTCAATTAATTTGTATTATATAGGAACACTTGATATTATATTAATTTATCATTAATAATAACAGTAATGTCTCATTCATTTTTATCTAGTAAAAAAAAAAATTTCTTAGTATTAATTTGTATACTTATTACTTAATATGTATTATGTGAGTACCTTATGGCTTATATTATTATAACTAAACTATTATTTTTGTTAATAATAATATGATTATTTTAGTAAAGCCAATCGGCAATCAGTATTTATTAGTTCATGTTATTTTAATTAAGTCTTATTTTTCATCAAAAAATTCAATCATAAAATATGAATAGGTGATAAATGTTGTACTTACATCATCAGAAATATTTTCATTTGAAATGTTTGAAGTGTTAATACTTGGACGTGGATCATCTCTATCGTTCATAAATTGCATACTTTCATACGCAAACCATTTTGAAGCATAAATCTCTTTTCGGCCTTATAATTTTTAACGTAAATTATTAATTAATATAAGTATATTATTATATAATATGTATTTATAATTTATTAAATCAAATAAAAATATTTTTATATTTCATAAAAACTAAAATAACTAAATATAATTTACCTTTCCCTGTTCCAAAGCTGTTTTTAGTTTTGGCCTTCTCTCGGCGAAACGATCCCGATAAACTTATCATTTTTTTTTTTGCTTCTTCCGTGTCGATATTTAAATTACGGCCAATTTGTGCCCAAGCGTCAATTTTTTTGTTTTTAGAAAAATACATTAAATCTTTTGGGTTCCACAAGACTGGGTACTTTTGGTACTCATTTATTAAATTTAAACAGCTTTCCTTGGACCATTCCATATTATTTAATATAAAATACTAGTAGTCCTATCTGAATTATTTAAATACGTAGTTGTAATGTTTACAGTTGACAGTAATTATTCGTAATGAATAAACATAAACTTAAAAAGACCCCCAAAGTCCCAACCAGAAACAAATCTTGGTTTTGTAGAAACATGTCTCTGCAGGATCGTGAGCGGTCTGAGCGCTGTGTGCAGATTTATTTACGTCCAAATTGAACAACGCACACTATGAGCTCGCGCGCCGATTTCCTTTGAGCATGGCCAGGAGACCGACAGTCAGTGGCTCGTGCTCAGCATGGATCGCGATCACGTTTGCGCGGTTTGAATTTGCTCACTTTACCGTCCACATACAAATTCATCGTAAACAATTTAATGTGAGCATGTATGCTCACCATGAATACGCTCAGGTGTGGACGCGCCTTAACAGAATTCTGTACTGGATGGACTGATGGCTTTTCCGTGACGTTACCGATAATGCGAATGTATTCTATTTTTGACGTGACGTTGCCGATCGGTGACGTGACGTTGACGTTCCGTATAGTGCGAATCGACCTTAAGGCGGGATACGGGACGCGGGGTTTTCACGTATGCCTCGGCC